GTGAATTTTCTAATCGATCGGTAACAGCGTTCGAATCTCGCGAATACCGATCATCGATCGTCGAGTTCGATGGAAAACAGTATAATTCTCGTATCGTACAACGTTAGGCAGACAGCGATCGCGCGTAATCCGTAGTTCGAAGGAAACACTCGCGGTCCTCGAGTTGATCAGTCCGAGGAAGCTACACACGCTTTTTGCACTAAAACTACAATAAGACTGAGAAAACGTTTTTTATACATGTTGACGTGAGTCACGAACCACGACACCGTCTACGAGGGATTTTCTCGTAATTCAGAATCTTCGTGCGTTGCACCCTTACGGTCTGTACGACCGAAATATCGATGAACCAGCCATACCGTGATCTCTTCATGGAGCTTACGATGGAATTAATACAGCCAAATCCTCTGCGGACGATGTTTTTCACGTTTCTTCTAGCTCTGGCTTCTTCTTCGCAAACACGAGTCGATGGAACATGTAATCGAGCGATGAGAATGGAACATAGCAGACGTGAAGATGAGAATTCGAAAGGGGATGTTTAAATTGGACTTTTGGTTTTTCATGGTTTGTGCGAGATTAGTTTGATTATCGAGGCTATTTGCTGATTTATTACTGCCAGATCTTACGAGTTAATATAATTATAGAAAGTGAATGTAGGAGAATGGAAGATAACAAATCTATGGTGCTGGAATTTCCTAAGTTTCCTATGATATAATATTGCAAGACGCTAAAGTGATTTAGATGAAAGTTTAAGGTATTAAATTCACTGTATCTTCGCTTTTAGTCGAATCAGGAGTATAGATGATCGCGTATGTATCAAGACACCTTTTGCTTCATCTTTTGCATCATTTTTTATTCGTGTCTTTTAGCCGTTAAAAACATTTCTCGAGTTAAAGACTGGTATAAAAGAACCGTATATTAATATGGATGATTTCGTTGCTTAATATTTCAATTTTATTCAAATGACTTGCTTGAAACGTTAAAGTCCCTTCGTTCGTCGAAACGAAAGAGATCGAAGAATATGGAAATGTAGAAACCATAACAGGATTAAGTGTATAAATACCCATTGCCTAATTTATACAGTCGTCTTCTCTCGAGAGCAAGTTGACTTTTCTATTCGTCTAATAAATCAGCGCTAGAATTTTTGCGAATTTGCGAAATTAAAACAAGCACCAGATGTAACAGAATATTCGAGCAAAACGGTGAGGATAGACAAAGGTGATCTTGATGAAATATAAATGTTAATGTAACTGTCTCTCGTAAAACTAAATTAATCCCCTTACTTCCCAACTGATAAATCGGTAGCGGAAAGAACTAAAAATCTACAGAAATAAAATAAAAGAAAAGAAAAAAAAAAAGTATTCAAGCAAAATGAAGGGAGTAGACAGCAAAAATGGCCTCGAGCAAACGAGTGAATCCGCACAGACTGTATCTTCCCCTTCTCTACGCGTCTCACGGGAGGGACCCTGCCTTCCCGGGGTGAGAATAGGAATGTTGAGGGCGACGAGACGTGATATAACGCGTGAATGTTTCGCTTTACAAAAATAGTGCCTTTTTTACAAAGACTCTGTTGTTTGTGCCAAGTCGAGTTCAAGGAATGCGAATGCGTACACTCTCACATATAAACGTATGACACGCGTAGACATACATAAAGACACATTTTACACACACATACACAGACACACACACACGTAGGCGAATATCTGCGAGACTTACGAGAGAGGGAAGCGACCCAGGGGGAAGATGTAGATTTAGAAAGAACGAAAGGAAGAGGAGGAAACGTGGAGGCGGGGGGGGGGGGTGGCGCGTTGAGCTTAAAAAATAAGAAGATGAAGAGACTGACGAGTCGAGGGTGGAGAACGGCAAGGACGAAAGATTGAAAAGCGTAGCGTTTGGTCGTCTGGGATTTCTGAAAAGATGTCGACGAAGATTCGATGAGAATTCTTCTTTTACGAAAATATTAAGCTCGGAAACTTGATATTTTCTAGATTCTTTAAATCTGCTGCGATTCTTGGATTTCTATATTTCGATATTACTCTCATTTTGGATGACAAATCCAGAATGTTAAAAGATTGTTCAGAATGTTGTACGAAGAGGATTTTAAAAAGTTTTAAGCGAATAAACGTGCGGAATTTAATGACGTATACGTTCCGAAACACTCAATATAGCATATTCGGAATATTATCGAAATTGTCCTGATGAAAGTTTCGATAACGAGTCGTTGTTTCGATCCCCTGTCTCGATGCACCGATCTCTGATCGGAAACATCCTCGTTGCTCGCGCACGACGATCTCGAAGAAGAAAGAAATAAGTATAGAATAGAACAAAGAATAGGAAATCGGAGGAAGAACAGAGACTAGAAAGAAACTGAAAATGAGGAGGTTTGCTAGAAAACGTAGAAATATCGAGCATCATCTTATACATGCGCACATACGGTATGCCAGTAACAGCAGCAACAAAAGGAAATAGGAATAAAACGCACGTACGAACACGCACGAACATAGTACACGGCCACGATGATATTGAAACACAGAGAATGAGAACGGAAGAGGGTGCGTTTCTTTCTGGGGAACGGAGGTCGAACAATTTACGTGTGAAAGTGTGACAGCGAGAGCGAGATTGTTATATGTGTGTGTATGAGACAGAGAAGAAGAGCACCGCGGGACTAACATAAAGGAAAAGAAGAAAAAAAAATGCAAATGCCAAAAAGTGTTCCACTAATTAATGCCGCCGTGGATCCCCAAATTAGTACCTATTATAAAGAAAAAAGAAAGGAAAGAAAATCGAATGAAATTGCGAGTAATAATCGAGTACATATGTAGAATGTGTGCTAAAGAAAATGAAGGAAAAGAAAAAAAATATGACGAAAGGAAAAGAAGTTAATATATTAACTTTAGTTACGGTTATATATATATACGCATATTATATTCGTGTATATATATATATATATATATATAAGTGTGTGTATATACATGTGTGTGTATGTGTGTGTGTGTGTGTGTGTGTGTATGTATGTATGTACGTACGCGATATACACACGAGCGAATGAAGAGCACACGGACACGCGATGTACTGATCAATCGTTCGCACAACGATTGTCATAAATTATAATACACATACATCATACGTACACGTGTCATATATATATACATATTATACACGTACACATAGGTACACACACACACAGAAATTCTGTTTTATCGTCATCCCTCCAGTCTATCAATCTTCGCACATGAAAAGATATTTCGAGACTGCGTATTGTACATACCATAAATATCGTACAAGATATACATACATATACATAATTATATATGTATATTAAGACGGATGATAAATACACTTAGCACTAACACGATTACCCTATATCATTAATATGATTATTATTACATGAGATGATATTAATTAACTGATAGTATTATACCTGTTGTCCCGATCAAAGGACAGACGCGGTTTTTCATGGTAGATTTACCTACTTCCCCTATCCCAATCCTCCTCCCTCCTCCTTCCGCGCCGACAATTTTAGGAGGAAATTGAAAATCGTTATACATATATACATATATATAATATACATATATATGGAGAGAGAGAGAGAGAGAGAGAGAGAGAGAGAGAGAAAGCGTTATCACACTTTGATTTTACCGATAATCGTTAAATAATCGTCATTGATATAAACGATAAGGATTATTATTATTAATTATTAATATTATTATTATTATGATTATTATATTATATCAAATTGTATTATTATTATTAATATTATTATCGTCAGCATCGCCGTTATCAGAGTCGTTCCGTCGGCCCTCCATCGTTCATCGTCGCGAGATCATCGTCATCCTCATCGTTTCAACCTGAACGCCGGTTTCTTCCGATTTCTTATCTCTTTTGCTCGCCATTTTTTCTTTCTCTTCTTCGCGAATTCGTCGAGTTTCATTCGAGAATTTTCTCCTTCCATTTTTGTTTTTCAATTCTTTCTTCTAATAATGTAAATTCCCATAATTTGGTCATGGAAATTCGCTCCCTTCTTCCTTCGAACCCGCTTCTTCGTCGCAGGCCCGATTCCTTCTCGTTGCCGAAGAATGATCTCAATTGAAGAAAGGAAGATTCGAAGACAGGAGATCGTATCGTCCCGTGAACGGTATCCGATTTATTCGAACGATCGCTACATTCGGGGCCAGCTGTCTTTGTTTCGCGCCTTTTGACGATGGCGTCTACGCGCGGCGCGCCATTTAGACACGTATAACGATTCCTTCCACCTGTTTTTCATTTTTCTAGAAACGTTCTAAGAGTCGTGGCTGTTCGTGGAAGGAACCCTTGCACGATTATCATCTTGCACTTCGGGAAGAAGGGGTAATATCAACATTTCCTTTCGATTTAAATATCTCTTCTTCTCCAGCAACGATGATTCCAATGCGCGGCACGCGTGGCGTTATCTTCGATAAAAATGTGATTCCCCGACTTTACCAGCGTCTCCTGCAAATTAGACTGATTTAAAAAAATGAAATAAAATTCGGGGAATCGATGAAGAAGAAAAGTGTTCTTTGAACATAATGTTCGAAGCGGCTTGTAGGATTTTGCGAGAGTTTAAGAATAGTGGAATCTTTGATGTAGATCGAGGATCTCGGTGCCAGAGATGCGTGAGAAGAAGAAGCACCGAATCCTGTTATCGATGTTATCGTCCTTTATTGTCCCCCTTTTCCCGTTACTTTGAGGCGTGCGTGTGCATGTGTGCTCGGTGAGAGTAATGCGCGTGCGAGCGTAGGCGATCTTGAATGGAGTTGAATCGAATAATCAGCTTCGATATCGACGACTAGCCATTGAATTTCTTTCTGTTTCCTGTCTCTTTCCTAGGTAAATAGAGTAACTACTGTTCGGATGATATTTTGACGTTGCATATCGCAGAAAAATAGTGTTGCAGGCCATCCATGTCTTTAGAGCTGCACTTGTGACAATTGGTTAATATTATTTGACATAATTTTTAACGAACCCTTCTTCGAAGCTCATAGATATATATGAAGGGTTTCTCGATTTATTTAACCTGTAAATAAAGTTAGGTTTAATCCAATCGATGAGTTGTACGGTATATTATACAGTCGATTTTGTATGAAATTAAGAACTTTTATGAATGTAAAGAAATGTAAAAGTTATAAAAGATACTTTCCTTCGGTTATTATTGAAACACTGCTTATTTAATGTTATTTCGTTTTAATCACTTTTGTAATACCACATTCGAAAAAATCGAATCTGACGAAGTTGAAATTGAATGTTCGATTCGACGACCAAAGGGCGAGCCGAGTAATGCGAAACGCTCGCACGTGTCCCAAAAGAAACTTATAGCGAACTTGGCCCTTGAATGTTACCGATGTTCTTCGAGCACAGTGAATTCACAAGCGAAAACTGTGCGGCTTCGAACTCTGAAACGTTCGTACGCTTTCTTGAATTTGAAATTACGATAAAGTAGACGCAAATTGATCATGATATAAATCTCGTACAAATTCAAGGACGCGAACGGCCTTCTGCTCAAAGCAAGTGTTACCATTCTGCCGAGCACAATTTGATCTTGTATAAATAATTATTAATAAAATTAAGAAGATGCCAATAAATTACTGTATAGTTACAAAAATAAGTAATTGTATAGCTACTCTTAATTTACTTATCGTCTGTATATTTCGAACGATCGTTGTCAATTCGTCTCTTCGGATCCAATATGGCGGACCAACTATGGCAGTCGTTCTAATAAAAGGAAGAAAAAAAAGTCAAGCGAAAAAAGCGTTTCGATAGTGAAATTTTATGAAGGATTTGTTAAAGATAGTGTGTCTGTATTTTCAAAGCTATTCGTTGGTTATTGCATAATAATCTACAAGCTCAGATTGTGCGCGGCCATCATAACATTTATTAGTGACTAAAAAACGCGCTGTTGCATACTCGAAATGTTCGCTTCGTAATTTATTGTAACCGTTAAAGAAGGGGAGAAAACGAAAAAAAGATAGCGAGAGATTGTCGAAAAAGCTGTTTATCGAGAGAGAGAAAAAAGAAAAAGATTTATTATAACGTAGTTCTTCCTCGAACTGATGTTGAGAAATGTGAAAAAAATAAAAGAATTAAATTATCGACATCGTGTGCCGGATCAAAAAAATATGGACGGGGATGTAAATAGATGGCGTCGCTGGCTGTGCTGTGCAAATTGTTGAATAGCGATGTGATACACACACATATATATATACATATATATGTATAAATACATGATACATATGTATACATATATATTTACATATACACTAATTTGCGGACGCGGTATTACCTCCAAAAAAAAAAAAGATTGTAGAACTGCAAAAGCTGCTATTGCAACAGAAACATAATTCGATGGCAGATCCACGTTATCGGACGCCATTGATTCAAGTAAAGAACGAATAAACGATTGAACGACTCTTCGGCGTTTTAACTTTGCGATAGGATCAATGTGAAACAACATTCGAAACGTGTGCTTGTATCGATATTACGTTATCGGATAATGGATCGAACTATCGATGTTGCTCTTACACTCGAAGCCAACTTCAATCGAAAACAGATGAGTGTAACGAACACAATGGCGACTTTTGCAATGACACATGTTCATACCGTATACATGCAAGCCATGGTCGTGCGAACTGTATTCGATCAAATACGACATATTCATCGTCTTCGTTCTTGTGCTCTTCGTTCACGTCGTGTTCGTTTCATTTTCATGCACTGTCAGCCATGCGAGGGAACGCTTGGGGACATTTGACATTTGATTCGCAATTTATAGCCACCATGGAAAATACGAGAAAAGAAAAGGTGCATAAAAGGACACGTGAACTGAGTGGCGCAATTCTTCGATAAATTCGCTTTTGAATAAAGTAGATAGCACCATAGATCTAAGAAGTGTTAACCGCAGATGCCGTGTTGAGAAAATGAGCCTCGTTGTAAAAGAAATAGGGATGAGTAACGGGATTTCTCTTTCCTTCCCTATCTATTAAAAAGAAATATCTGTTAGAAAGAGAAAGGGAGGCAACGTTAAATATCTTTATCTCTCTTTCAACGAGGACCGCACTCTTCATAAGACACCCACGGTCTATACTTCTTACATATGTCCATGGATAGGATACGTGTAAGTGAAACCACGTTCCAATTCGAGCGGAGACCACGCATTTCGATTTCGATATATCGTCTCGATTCAACAAATCGGACGCTGTCCCCCCGTGTTCACGTCGAAATAGCGCGTCGCGAATCGCGCTGGAATTGGAACGAATAATCGGAAACGATCTTTGTGGCGGAGCGTGTGATTGTTGAAGCGGTTCGAGCCTCGAGATATTCGAGAATCGAACTCGCCTTTAATCGGTCAACGTCGAGTCGAGGAGAACGGTTCATTAGTCTCAATTACTAGTTGGAATGTCTCTCGTGGTAAAACAAGAGAGGCGCGCTAAGCTTGAGCTCGTATGTATAGTCGCAAACAATCGACTTTCGATCTATCGCTGTAATCACTGCCATGTCGGCGACGCAGAGTCAGTAAACGATGGCGATTTTGTGTAGAGATACATACTTCGTTGATTTGAACCCACGAAGCGATGCGCGTTTACGATATTGTATTTTATTGTTATTTTTCTGCTTCGCGATGCATTTACTTTTATTCCGAATTAAAATATGAAACACTTGCGAATTTTTCTAGCAATAATTCCTTTTTTTCTCTTAAATTATTCACTTATTTAAATAAAGTTACTACCACCCAATTCACCCAGTACTTTATTCATTGAGTATTAACATGCTATAATAAAGTGCGATTAAATATTCAAATGAAATTATCGTATTATTTTATGGACCGCATCGTGTGTGGCTTCAGCAACAGAGTGGCGTTTCTTATTAACTGTGTCTCGCAAACATTCTATCGCCGGAACAACATTGTGTGTCCAGTTTGTTAAGAGACTTAAGTCTCTTTTCAATAAGTCTCACTCCTCAAGAAACTTCCGATTGAGCCTTCGAAGTTACTCCATATGAGCTACTTCTTAGGAATACCATTATGGACGTTGTATCGTGAACGGAGCTCCAATGCTGGTATTAGAGAGTTGCTGGCAACTTACGATTAAAGATGTGACCAAATAGACGATATTCCCTTTCGATTACGTCTTTTGATTCGCGAATTATAGTGGAGATTGAGAGGTACCAGTGGAGCGCTGTCCACGAAACTGGTTCATTTGTTTCTTGTCTGTAGCATCACCAATTCATATAATGTGTCAACCTCGAGCGATTCTGGAGCAGCGATTTTCAACATTTTCATCTCATAGAACACATAAATTGATTATTAAAATTCTGCAGCATGACAGAAAATATATTATGTTTTAGCTGTTGTCATTCTTTTATTTGACAATCTAAGAAAAAAGAGGCCAATGCTCCTAATTAAATAATTAGATATTGCATCTTTCAAAAATTTTTACGGCACATGGTTGAAAATCGCTGTTGTAGATCCTAGAGCATAAGAAGTGCTTGGAGATTTTGGTCACTCGATGTTCACAAGCGGAACTCGGTCACTGCTGCGCAATACGCATGCGCAGTCGTCGATGGCGGGCAACAACATCGGTTCGATGCGATGGGTCGAATCTAACCTTTCGATCTTCTCTGGTTTCGTTTAATTTCTTACGATATCATATAATTATTAAACGATAATGATTCTTATATAAGAGCTACTACGCATAAGGGTGTTATATGTTACGTTTCTCGAATTTTGTATGGGCCATACGAAACTTTGTTCCTTAGAACATTGTTGAGTGAAAAAGATATCTTTCGCACTGCATTCCTAATGCACATTGCGTGCTGGAATTTGGTGCATTTATCATAATTGTGCAGGCATTATTACGATTGTGTTATAAAATAACAAACAGGAAAATGAAAGTGGAAGAAATAAAAAGAGGCGCATGTGCATTTATAAAAGCGAAAGAAATTCAGGGAGAGGTATGAGATAACACGCGTGATTGTACATGTGTGTATGAAAGAGGAAGAGAAAGCATTTGCAAACGATCATGTTTATTCTTCACCAACTGTACGCAATATGAAATTGAGTATACAAAGCAGAGCAGCGAGAACCATTTGTCCTAGTCCTAGTATTCAAACTCATCACCATAATTTATAACCGATTTCAATTTAAATCTAATAAAATGATGTTATAATACCAAACATGTCTTTTTTAGTATATTTCTATACCCGAAATATAAAGAAACTTAAATTCATCATAACGATTAATTGACAATAATATGGGTTTGAAACCAAGATTAATTTTAGTACTTTCCTTACAGAGCCCTCTGGTGGGGATATAGATCACTGCATACATGAACTTATTGACTGAGTTCTCATGTCCTCAGTTACGTTTCAATCGCCGAAAAGTGTAGTGTGCGATATCAAATATAATCTTGAAATCTAACCTTATTTAACAATAATATGTTTGTATTTTATAAAAAAAAGTAATAATTACATTATTAGTGATCTTGGAAGATTTTCTTTACAACTATCACAATGGTAAAGAAAAGAAGAGGTAAATATTATTATTGCACAAAAATAGTTAATATATGATTATCTATTTTGCAATACTATTTATAGAAGGAATAGTTTTACTATTTTATTAAATATGTGTATGTGTATTTAATTTTAGAATTTGAACAGAGTAAAGAAGAACGTATGGTTATAACTATTGGAGAAATTATACAAGAATTATTGAAAGCACATGATGAAAACAGAGATGTTGATCTAAATAAATTAAAAACTCGAATTGCTTCTAAATATGGCTTGGATAGCTCACCGAGATTAGTTGATATTATAGCAGCTGTACCTGTTGATGCACGAAATATATTAGTACCAAAATTAAAAGCAAAACCTATTAGGACTGCCAGTGGAGTTAGTATTTAATTTATTACTGTATTATAATTGCAGTGTAAAATCTTTAATAGAAATTCAACAACATTCTCTTCAAATTGTTGTAAAAAATATATTCTGTGAATAATTTGGTCTTTACAGATAGCTGTTGTGGCTGTAATGTGTAAACCTCACAGGTGTCCTCATATCAACATGACAGGGAATATTTGTGTGTATTGTCCTGGTGGACCTGACTCTGATTTTGAGTATTCCACACAGTCTTATACTGGTTATGAACCTACATCAATGAGAGCTATTCGAGCCAGGTATAATCCATTTCTACAAACCAGGCATCGTGTGGAGCAGGTGAAGTTAGGAATTTATTAACTACTTTTATATGAGAAACATTAAATAATAATCATAAAATACTGTTGCAGCTGAAGCAATTGGGACACAGTGTAGATAAAATTGAATTTATTGTTATGGGTGGTACTTTCATGTCTCTGCCAGAAGATTACAGAGATTACTTTATTCGAAACTTACATGATGCTTTATCTGGTCATGTAAGCAGTAATGTTAGCGAGGCGGTTAAATTTTCTGAACGAAGTCGTACAAAGTGTATTGGTATTACTATAGAAACGCGTCCTGATTATTGCCTTAAAAAACATCTTTCCGACATGTTACTTTATGGGTAAATGTATTATAATAATTTACATGAATAAATATTTTTTAATTTCCTTAGACTCATATTTCGAACAAATTTAACAGGTGTACTCGGTTAGAGATTGGAGTTCAATCTGTATATGAGGACGTAGCACGAGATACTAACAGAGGACACACAGTTCGTGCAGTGTGCGAGAGTTTTCAACTATCGAAGGATGCTGGTTTCAAAGTAATAGCACATATGATGCCAGATTTACCAAATGTCGATATTGAAAGGGATGTTAACCAATTCATTGTGAGTTATAACTGTATTCCTAAAACATTCCTTATTCACTTTTTTTATTTATCAAAGAAATTGTGTATATTTTAGGAATTCTTTGAAAACCCTGCTTTCAGAGCAGATGGTCTGAAAATTTATCCAACATTAGTTATACGTGGTACAGGCTTATATGAGTTGTGGAAGACAGGAAGATACAAAAGCTATCCACCGAGCATTTTAATAGATCTTATAGCTCGAATTTTGGCTCTGATACCACCTTGGACTCGTGTATATCGTGTACAGAGAGATATACCTATGCCTTTGGTCAGGTAATATTATTTATACTACATTACACCTTATTTATTTGGTATATTTTGGTCATTTCTATTTAGATTAAATTTAATTTTGAAATACGCAGTTCGGGCGTGGAACACGGAAATTTACGCGAATTGGCACTGGCAAGAATGAAAGATTTGGGAACTGATTGCCGCGATGTTAGAACTCGAGAAGTTGGTATTCAAGAAATCCACCACAAAGTACAGCCTTATGAAGTAGAGCTTATACGTCGTGATTATGTTGCCAATGGCGGGTGGGAAACATTCTTGTCTTATGAAGACCCCACACAGGATATTTTGGTTGGTTTATTAAGGCTAAGAAAATGCTCGGGCGATACGTTTAGGTAAAGTAAAATTACAGAAATTATATATAAGATATATTAGTATCGGAATACGATTATATTAAATCAGATGCGTTTTACAGGCCAGAACTTAAAGACAGGTGCTCAATAGTAAGAGAACTTCATGTGTATGGTAGCGTCGTTCCAGTAAATGCTCGTGATCCTACAAAATTTCAACATCAAGGATTTGGAATGTTATTAATGGAAGAAGCTGAGCGGATAGCGAGGGAGGAACATGGATCTCATAAACTTGCTGTCATATCAGGTATAGATCTTACATATCATAATCTTAACAATAAATATTATAAGTATTATTATAAATCTGTTATTATTATGATGCATATAATTCTATTCAGGTGTCGGGACAAGAAATTATTATCGAAAAATGGGATACGAACTCGATGGGCCATATATGTCAAAGATGCTTATTGCTTGCAAATAAATACTATTTTCTTCATAATAAAAAAGAAGAAAAAACAACAAACATAATATTTTCTCTTTTATTATAAATCTTTATTAGAAAACTTTGGAACAACCGATTATCGATCAAACATTAAATTTATGATCTTAACAGTACACTGAGTCACAAAAGTATTTGAATACTTTCTACAGAAACTTTGTATGAGTATATTATGTGCATTAACCGATATTTTTTTTTTAATTTCGTTAGCACTGTAATGTGACAAATATCGTTATTATAGTAGCAAAATTTGAAATCAATTCGAAAATGCATATAGAAGTTACAAGACATTTATTGCAAATATAAGTTTTTAAGAGTATTCGAATACTTTGAATCACGATATATAATGGGATATCGACAAGGTCAAGTATGAGAAGAACGTATCAAAACCCATATTTACACACGTCCTGCTCACTATCAACAGTGTCCAAAAAACGCACTCTTATGTCTCTCAATAACTGTGTTAAGTAATCGAGTAAATCGAATCAACCGCCGCCATAATTTGAATTTTCACAGTATTGAAATTATCAAAAAACTTTAATTTAAACATCAATATAAATTGAAATTTTTCATGGTATTGGAAGCCTGATTTAAGTAAATATAATTTCGATATCCAGATTTAAACACCGATTGTTATTAATAGCTTCCCCCACTCTCTCGCGCGCCACCTGCTGACGGCGCTCGAAGAGAATAAACAAAAGCAAGTCGCATTCGTGACACCGGTGTCGATCAGTGAACGTCGTTGTCTGAGCTCGGTCTGCTTTGTAATGTGCATTTCTTCAGATAGAAGTCGATCGCAAACGCGCAATTCGGTAAAAACGAATTATCGCGTGTTTGTTCGACGCTTGAACGTTTGCGCGGCCGACGCGAGAATGTCGTGGAAGGAGTGGGATGGTGAACGGTAGATGCTAGAACATTTGTGTCAATACAACAGGACGACCAGGCGTCTACAGAGAAAGCGGTATTATCCTGGCGCCAAATCATAGGGGTAAGTGAAATGGCAAACACTGATTAAAATTTAGGTTAGGTCCGCCGATGTATAAACATTCAAAAATTTAGTTCCTTGTAATATTACTAGACTGCGGATTTTTATACACTCACAAGAAATGTAAGGGTGTCAGAATACACATAATATAGAAAAATATGTAAAATATTCAGAGTACTTATAATATCTAGTAGTTAGTAGATTCTGCTTAAGTTCCATTTCTCTAATTGTAACTGTTTATCAAAATACAAAGTTGCATAAAGAACTGCAGTCTATATGTTACTGCATCATATCTGCAATTAATAGATATATGGACTTATGTATGTTTAATATTATATTAGAATTTTGTATTGTACAAATAGAATGATAAATACAGATACATAAATGAAGTTCAGTTGGAAAATTTCGGATTTAATAGATTTCGTGATGTTTCAATTTTGTAACTCGTCATCAAGCCGCGTGCATCATTAATAACCCATGCAAAATATTTGTTAAATAAATTGCGTTCCATAATAATTACAGAATTGTTAAAAGAATTATTTCACAGAAGTCTTGATTTGCATAAAAAGCCACAATCTAGTTATGTCGATACCAAACCTGTACCGTGAACAACGTTACGCCGTTATGTAAACAAACATCGTTATCTTAACTCCATAATGAATTTCTACGTTTACTTTATAATTTTCTTCTTGCTACATAAAAATTATTTATCAAATAATTATTTACAAATTATTGTGATAGGTAAGGTTCCAAAGGTTATATCGTTAAGAAACATTGGCAACATTCGTAAAGTAAAAAGCAATTGTTTTCAACGCAACAGTAACTTTCTTGAGGTTGCTCGACCAATAAATTACGTCTACAATTAGAGTTACTTAACATGATATTTTTTAACGTCCGCGAGACTCGATTGTATTTCCTGAACTCCTCGGAATTCCTTTGCGCGGAAAATTGGTTTATTTTGTTGCGTTTTATTACTTACAGAATCTAAAACCTTAAAATTCAATCTAAAACATACAAGTCACAAAAATTCGAAAGGCTATAGTTTATATTTTCTGTTTTTCTTCTTTCGATACATATTTTTACGAAGGTGTTTATCCATGTCAAAACTGTTTCATTTGTTTTCATAAAGTATACGATAAAGTAAACGACGTATTGTGCTCGTTCAAAAGTAGATTCTTTTATCGACAGAGAAAATATTTCTGCTATCATGTTACATATTCGCGAAATTCTAATAATACCGATGAAAACGAGAGATATTAGATTTCCTTTCTGAAGTTTTGCTTCGTTAACTTCTTTAATGCGAATTTTCGGGAAATTATTCGCATAGTCTCAATTTTGTAATGTTCAGTTAAGCAATGTGCAAGTGGAAAGTGATGCTCCGAGTTCGACGACCTCTAGTGTCATAATACTCTAATTACGTCACTATTGTATTGGAATATCAGCAAAGAAGTTAAACTTACAAGAATTATAAATTTATAGTATTGATTATAGTAAAAATTAAGTATTGGTTATAAAAGAACCTTTCAATTTTCATAGGCATTTATCCTTATCTATTCTATGTAATATCGGTAAATTGGTAATTTACCGATAAAACACTGTCAATAGAATCTTTGTTTTCGTTTGTTCTTCAACTACTTTTTCCAATCTATCACAGAAAAAGCATGTTCTATATCACGGTATTATTTCTCTTGTTACCATGTTAAGAAATAGGCAAGTATATATAAGCTATATTTGAACTATATAATTACTATGTATATATCACTCTAGAATTAATAAAAATTAGCTTCATTGCATTATGATATTAACTATAGAAATTTGAAAGTTACAAATCCTCGAAACATTCAATAATATCATTGAATATCAAATCATTCAAATCATTCAAGTGGATAAAATCTCACCATCCTAGAGATTTAAATTCGTATCTTACAGTATAAGAATTTCCCCAGCTTTTCTTCATATATTCCTCTCGTCACGTTAACAATATAATCACGTAATTTCATCAGTATTATGTTACTCGCGTCATTATTTTAATTAGATACATTTCAAACAATAAATTATCTCGAAGATTGCATAATCTTAATTGCCGATTAAGAAGCACGACAAGAGCAGTTCCAGGCGAGCGGTAATTCCCTCGTGCGTGCACAGGTTGCGCCCACGCAATCGTATACAGTGTACAGTAGTGCTACGTTAACTGGTCAGGGTTTTGCTTTGTTAACTGGCCGTCGCTAATCCCACCATTTATTGAAACTGACTTAGTGAAATAAGTTTCTCTGGTATTATATACCAGACCCGCATTCCTTGCACTAGTCATCTTTCCAGTAACGCATTATACATTGGCTCATGAAAGTATTTGAACAATATTTTGGTGAGTATCTACGTTTATATATGTCGGAGATCGTAAAATCGTAATTAAAGTTTACAGTTGCAATTAAACAGTTTGCCGTCATTCTGCCCAATTGTACTTGTTTGCGATCTGTGATAATAAACTTGGGCTTAAGGCGACCATCAGCCGTCGAACGTAGCTGCGGTCAATGGGACGGGCGCTCCGTCTAACAAAGGTGCGGAGTGATGTTATGACCCTCATTAAAGGAAATACCCATAGAGATACCAGGCAGTAAAACACATACCAACGGTTCCTTCGGACAATGAATACCTGATGTTGAGGCACGTACACAGTACAAGTCTGGTTAACCCGAGGACCCGCTATAAAACCTGTGGCTTTCGGCAATTAAGATTTGTGCAAACGGACAGGCAGCTTTTGTCTGAAATTGACCAATCGACAGCGACGTCGATCCGAGGATCTTGTGTACTTAGACACCCCACCATAGTTGGCCTCGGTAGCGTCATTGGGACGAAAATTCATTCTTCCTTGAGATCTCATTGACGAAGGGAGTAGCGCCTTACGAGGAGTTAGTACACGTTTGAGTTAGAGCAAGTATATCTATCCTCCCGTTGGCCGGTTCGTTATCGAAGACCATTATCACTAGTGTCGCGAGTGCCTAATCGCCGCTGTTGATTGTCGAATCGGTAGTGTTCATACTCGTAGTATCAGCCTTCTGTACCTTCGTTATAACGCAACGCTGGCCAACTCCAAGGGAGGCCTATCAAACGTCCACAACCCTGTCCTGACTCTTCTCCGGTGTATATATTAGTATATTAAATAAAACATTTTGAAGTTCTACTAGCACTGTAATAATTATAATTATCATGAATATATTTTTAGTTACACATAGAAGCTACAGTTCATTGTGTTAATAAGCCATTCTTACCGTTAATTATATGCATGTTTGAAGCAATTATTCATTCTGTATACTAATTTTTTATGAAGCATTTGTTTATGTTAAATATATATACTTTACTTCTATATACATTTTTTAATTAATTTGAAATTTTATTCATGATAACTGTGTTTCATTAAAATGTTTCTGAGGTTTCAAAGATTGTAAATAATATACTAATAAATATCATATAATATATATTACAATATTATGTAGCATATTCACCAAAGTTGTCTATTGCAAGTACTCAAATATTTTCACGAATCACTATATGTAAAATAAACAAATGTGTCAAATACCATTATCCCATTCATACTCAATGTAGAATGGAGACACTCGGAATTGGCCAGAAGTATCCTACTTTCTTTTTAAGTGATCCGATAAGGTGCCGATACTTTATCAAGATATACGTATCTACAAGATATTTGCATTTATATGAGTACGTTACCATTCTTTACAGTGTATATCGTATACCTTTCATAGGCCGTGAATCTGTGTTTTGTCCGACGATTTTGGCTCGATGCTCGCGATATATTCACAAAGTGGCCGCCAGTCATGAATTCGTCTTCGACCGGCCAATTGGACGACTCGCGATCTATAGTAAATATCCGGCTACTATTATTAAGTTTGTCCTTAACGATCGTTACGGGTATCATCTCGCAACCATTAGCTCCCGTCACACGAATGGCATCGGATCCGTTCGTGAACTTCGCGAAGTTATCGGATCGTGATCTAGTGATTGTGTGTTTTCACTGTTCCCATTAAGTGGTTCCAGGATCCGCGCGAAACTTCATCGGGAATATCGTGTATACTATTTTGTAGAAACACCGTACCACGCCAACTGTCGTATAGGTAAGTCACGATCCGTTTACCGTAAAATGGGAACATTTAGTTGGCAACATGACTGATAATAGATATAGAGATAATAGAATCGATTTGGACATTAATACTCCATAAATTTATGATCACGTTGAAAATTGGTATACTTAGAGGAATTTGACGAAAATCGCAGACGCTGCTTCGCGTTGCTAACCAACCACTCTTCCGGATGAATCATCTTGAGTCATCTTAAACGCTCCTTTTTGGAAGTGAACTAAAAATAAGTGAAAGTTTAGGAAATAATTCTAAAAAACGATATCTTACTCTATTATTATCTGTTAATTTTACTCTAATTAATTAAAGGGAAACTTTGCTTGTATTTGTTACGTTAACACGACGAATATTGTAATAAATAGATACTGACCGATAAAAGCACATAATAGATATCGAAGCAAACATACGCCTATATTATTGCGTCGTTATTTATTCAAATAATACGCTATATATATGGCAGCTTGTACCGAGAATTTCTGGTATCAAGTTCGTACGCCTACATGTCTGACAGATAAGGGATCGATGTGTCCATACAATTTTCGAGGTGTAACGTTGTAAGGCAATTAGTAGGAACGTGTATGCTCGTGTTACCAAATGTACCAACACCGTGTTGTCCAAATGTATTGACACAGTCAGGGACACGATCTCTCGTAATAGCTAAAAATACCGAAAGATGGCGACTACTAAAAAATTCGCACATTTCTGTTTTATTTCATATTAAAATTGCATAGTATTTATATCTTATATTATTACAATATATAATAATGATATATTTATTTTAATATACTAATAGATACGTTATAAAATTCTATTCTTATGCTTTCTACAGTATAAAGATGTATATACTGTAAG